CAGTAAAAAAATTCAGCTTTGCATCACAGGAATAAACGACATTTTAAATGAAATTACAATAGAACAGTTCTTTTAAATTCTAATAATATTTTACTGATTTAACAGATCAAATAAATGCAGTTTCTTTCAAAAAACAAACAAACAAAAAACATACAAATTTTTCAGTTCTTACAGTCAAGCAGATTCACTAAACATTTTTTGAGTTTTGTGCTTACAGTATTTACATTATTTACCAACCACCCACAAACCTGATTAGTACAGTTCGTTCAGTGAATCATGAGTCAAATAAACAGCATGATTCATTGTTAGTGATTCCCTCCAGCGAACTTTCATATCACAATGAACTCTTTTGTTAGAAAATATCAAAACACTTTCTCATGATACTTAAAGTTTACTTCTTTCATATTCATGTTGTTCAGCTCATGATGCTGTCACTGTAAATCATAATCACGGTTTCTTCCACTTAAATCTTAAAGGATTCGCCATCAGCTCAACAAAAAGATGTTTATGAATCTTACGACAGCATTTAAAGGGACAGTTCACCCAAAAATATAAATGATGTCAGTTACTCACCCTCAAGTTTTTACAAACCTATATGAGTTTTTTTCTTCAGTTGAACACAAGAAAATATATTTTGGAGACTGTTGCTAACCAAAACGTTGCTGGTAGCCATTGACTTCCATAGTATTTTTTTCCCCTCCTATGGAAGTCAATGGCTACCGTCAACTGTTTGGTTTCCAACATTCTTCAAAATGTCTTCTTTTCTGTTCCACACAAGAAAAAAAACTCAGACAGGTTTGTAAAAGCTTGAGGGTGAGTAAATTATGACAGAATTGTAATTTTTGGGTGAACTGTCTCTTTAAACACCTGAATTTCTGTCTAAATCCCAGCGGTTTCAGATGAATCTCAGTGAGCCGTGCTGTGATAAAGTGCTTATTTCTCGTTGGCCTTTATGGCTTTATTTCTCGAGCTTTAACAGGCCGCTTGTCCTTGAACCGGATGTCTCAGAGACGTCAGATGGAGCCGCTGCCAGTAAGTCACGGGTGTATTGGGATGTTAACAGGAACGCGAGAAGCCACTCCTGACTTCATTAAAGCCAGACGGATGACGGCGAAATGCTGATAAATCATAAACGCTCACCACTGAATACCAGGCTTCTATAGAAACAGAACAGCGTCGTAACGTAATCATATCTTTGCGCCGTCTAGGCCTCGTCACCATATTAGCAGCGACTCAGTTACCCGTCCTGTGTGATTTAATTCAATCAGGATAATAACCAGAGAGGAGGAAATCTGATATGGAAACAAAGCTGCAAAATCCAGACGACTTCATCCCATCTCTCTAAACCAGTCCAACTTAAAGAGATAGTTCAAGCAAAAATACAAAATTCTGTCATCATTTACACACTCTAAATATTGTTTTAGACCCATGTGATTAACTTTCTTCTGTGGAACACAAAATAAAGGGCCTTAAATTACTGTAATGACTGTTGTTTCCCGAACAGGGAATTGTAAGGGGTTTGTAAGTTGATGAAAAGCTAGCAATTACTGTATTTTCTGATAAAAACACACACACACACACACACACACACACACGCACACACACACACACACAAATAAGCAGCATCAGTGTGTTACATTATTACATTCATAAATAAAGTAAAAATAAATGTTTACAAAATTATTAACACTATAAACATGTATTTTAGTTCCCATCACCAGACAAAAAACCTTTAAATTTAACCCCCCCCAGAAAAATTAAATTAAATTAAATTAAATTAAATTAAATTAAATTAAATTAAATTAAATTAAATTAAATTAAATTAAATTAAATTAAATTAAATTAAATTAAATTAAATTAAATTAAATTAAATTAAATTAAATTAAATTAAATTAAATTAAATTAAATTAAATTAAATTGTAAAAGCAATCAAAATAAAACACTTACTACAAAAGATAAACTATTATACATTTATTAAAATATTTGTTATTTATTTTAATATTTTATGCATGCCATGTGACCATTAACTGAGAATCAAATGTGCAAATGTGTTGTTAAATTATTAAAAATATTAACTTCAGGATGACTTAATATATGAATACTTAAATTTTGTAACAAATAATATAGATGTGTTTGGTTGACAAATAAGTTTGAATCCCTGTATTATACACTGTGTGTGAATTTCTGTTGTTATTTTGCAAAATACTTGTACGGATACTTGTACAGCATTTGTCCCCATTCACTTTCATTGTATAGAAAATAGTCCCTGTGACCATCTGTGAAAAATCCTCTTTTATGTGCCACGGAAGAACTAAAGCCATTCAGATTTTAAAAATATATTTTTTGATTTTTAAAAATTGTTATAAACATTTTTTTGGTGAACTATTCCTTTAAAGGAGCAAAAAGTACATCATTTGGGTTGTTTGACATTTTAATTTTGTCCCTTTTTTGTCTTTCAGTTGTTTTTATGCACATAACTGTAATCTGATTCTGCAGGTTTCTAACTGAATTTATAAAAGTAGGCAATCTGCAAGCTCTCCGAACGTTCAGGGTCCTCCGTGCTTTGAAAACTATTTCCGTAATCCCAGGTAAGCGGTTCCTGAAGCCGTGCGCAAGTGTTGCTCACTGTCCAGTCCAACAGCTCAGGATTTGACCCGCATCCGATTCTTCCCGCGCTGTGTTCTCCGGTTCATCTCTTTCCCAGCAGCTTCCCGACATCCTGCTTCATTCACCACTGTGTTGTTTGCCTGTTGTTGGGGTTGTTGTCATTGTCTGTGCTCCAATTCTCGCTTATTGCAGATATGTTACTGAGTTTGTGGACCTGGGCAATGTCTCAGCGTTACGGACATTCAGGGTTCTGCGAGCACTGAAAACTATCTCAGTCATCCCAGGTGAGAGGCCGCCAAACGCCGAGGCCTGCGGTGCTAGTGGATGACCAAATGACCCAAACACATTTCCGGCACTTCCAATACACTCTTGGAAACATGGAAATGCAGAATGTAGGAAATGAGACTTTTGAGTTGGGCAGCATGACGATTAGACAGCAAATCAAAGTCAAAGAGCTTCCCTGTTGAGAAAAAAACAGCTTCCCAGCTAACAAAAAAGATGTTCTAAAAACATCACGTTTTGAAAGCATTATTTCTAAGCGTTCAGTTTTCTTGGTTATGTGAACATTACAGAAACATTCCATTTGCGAACGTCATAGGAATGTTACATTTGAATGTTCTCGGAACATTCTAAAAGTTGTTACATTTGAAAAACGTCCAGCTTAAGCGTTTCACGAAGGTTCCATGAACGATGTATGAATAATGTTTTTGTTCTCATGTTTTGAGAACATTGTTTAAATCCAGATAAAATTACCGGTAGAACGTTTGTTCGTCACTTTGAGAAAACTTTGACAGAACGTTCTGAGGACGTTTCCTGTTAGCTGGGTAGCCGGTTTGTGTGGCCAAAACCGCTCTAAAACCTGTGCTGTGGAAACCGTTCCGGCTTGTTTTTCAGCAGGTTTAAATGATATTCATCTCAATGGTCCAAGTAACTGCCATTGAGTGTGCAACAGTCTGGTTCCCGAAGTAAATTTCCATTCATTTTCTCCTTAGGGAAATGGATTTTTAACGATAACTCATAAACCGCTAAAGAGAGACCTACTGTGATCTACGACGGCTACGAAGCCATCCGTTCGCATTATTTCAACTGATTTTTAAAGTAATAACAACTGAGAAACTACATTACCCATGATGCCGTACAGAAAATGTAACCAATCAGAGAGTTGCACTAAAAGAGCTCCGCCCACTCTCTCTTTCTCTCTATATAATTAGCATATTAATTATTGTTTTTATTAATGTAATGAACATCTTTAAATAAATAGTTTTATATTCATCATTTTTATTTTGATTATGTCTTTCGAAATGCGTCATGGGATTGTAGTTCTTTCAGTAAAGCCGTTAAGTTCACAGTCACAGTCCGATTTTCACACTTTTTTTTTGCTTCAGATAAAAGTTTGCAGTTTTCTGATTCACCGTGTAGCTGCTTGGTTTGGTTCGTGGCTCATAACTCTTTAAAACAAGACCCCTATGGGAAAAATGAATGGAAAAAATACTGCTGCTGAAAAACTAGATGGGCACTTTTGCACTCGATTACAGCTGTTAACATACTTAATTAACTAAGGACCTCCAGGTGCAACATGTTGTATTGCAGGTCAATCACACACAAGTGAAATTACATCGGGGTGGAAGGTTCACCTTCAGCTGTCAGCTCGGGGTTCAGTTAACTCACTCCAAAAGTCTCATTGACGTGTTGAAGGCATGGGTAGCTGTAGAGGAACACCAGTTTGCATGCTGAGCCAACAAGCAGATGCTTCTTATGGAATGAGAAAATATATATACACACGTGAAACCGAAAAACACACACACTCTAGCACATATATTATATGCATGTGTATTCCCGAAGAAAAGTGCATGTTCTCATTCCACGGAAGCGTCTGCTGTGAACTGTCACATTTATTGTGTGCGTCCCGCAGCCACAAATGCTTGTAAAGACAGAGCTGATGTCGTGTGCTGTGTTTGTGGTTCGACAGATGCTTTAATGTCAGATTTTAAGATGTGATCCAGGGTTTGGAAACATTCAGAATTTGAGAATCCTTTTAAATTCACAAGTGTTCATTTTATTTGAATTGGCAAACAGGAAGTTGAATTGGAATTTGATTTGGAAGACATGCTAAATTTCAATGCAAAAAAATAAAAATCAACAATCACAAAGCAAAGAAATTAAGTAGTCAGAAATTGTTTTGTGACAAAATGTAATAATTACATTATTGGTTACTTCAATTTGTAGGTTTGAAAAAGTTGTAAAATGAGATATTAACAACAAACATTTTTTATATATTATATTATTTTTATATTGTATGTTTTGTATTATTTTTGTTTAATAATCTTGTTTTTAATGCATTTAAATTTTTATTTATTTTTATGTTATTAAATTTCTTCCCACTCTTTCTGCTTAAATAAAATATGTATCATATTGAAAAAGTAGGAGTGACATGGAAAATATATAAAAATGTGTGGTTATTAAAAATACAAAAATTATTATCATTTTATTTTTTTATTTTTGAATGACTAAAAATTATACCTTTTTCATGTCACCCACACTTTTTCAACTCAATGTTAAAAATGATAATTTAAATGTATATTATAAATAAAAGTAAAATAAATGTAAAAATACAATTTTTATATATGTATTTTTTTATATTTATGCATGATGCAACCAAATATGTCTAATATCTTAAACTGTAGGAAAAGTAATTAATTAATTTATTATTTTAATATATTCTGGATTCTCAAAATTGAAAAATTGAATCTGAATTTAACAGGCTTTCTCAATCCAATTCTGAATGATGCACAACCCTGATGTGATCTGAAAAAAAAAAAAATAGTTAGATTTTTTTTAACTACCCCAAAATTAGCATCTCAAATTTTTAGTTCAGCATTATTATCTTGTTGTGCCGCTGCTGCTCTCAGGCCTGAAGACCATCGTGGGCGCGCTGATCCAGTCGGTGAAGAAGCTGGCAGACGTCATGATCCTGACGGTCTTCTGTCTCAGCGTCTTCGCTCTCATCGGCCAGCAGCTCTTCATGGGGAACCTGCGGCAGAAATGCGTCCGCAGCACCGCGCACTGTCTCAACACCACCTTACCTTCATACAACAACAGCACTTTCTTCTGCAATAACAGAACCTGGTCCTCGCTGGAGGACTTCATCACTAATGAAGGTCAGTGAAGCTCAGACGCAGCCAGTATAAAGTCTGAATGCTCACACACATCTAAACAATAGCTAGTTTCCATTTCATACATTACAAGAAGATAATGTGGGTGCCGTGTGGCCATGCAGAACTCACCACTGATTCAAAGGTGATGTGAGTGGGTTTTAGCAGGTTTTAGGTGGTTTCTTACTGGTCCACGTCACAAGAGTTCACCTTCAAGTCTCTCTGATATTCTTCAGTCGAGATGAGAGGAAACTGAGAAATAAAAACAGACATAAATAGTTGTTATACAGTAATAGGAGCTCAGATCAATAGATGAGAAATGTTTGAGGTTATTATTAAATCTCTGCGATGTCTTGGCAAATCTGAGCACACTTTGAGACATTGAGACTCGGGAGAAACATAGAAGAAGTGGGATACTTTAGCAAAAGATTCATTACTTTCTAGGAGATATTAAAGACATTTAATTTGTAATTTGTCTTTTCTCTGGATAAAATAACCCAGTGTTATTTTAGGATTATTTATATACGATTACAGTATTTATTAATATTTTGAAGTAGCTTTCATTTTTTTATATTTCCAGTTTTAAAATAGTTTTAGTTTATATTTCTTTCAGTTTTAGTCATTGCGATACTTCAAATGTATTTATTTCAGTAATTTTCAAGTGGTTTTTTTTTAGTTCTAGAAATGTTGTTATATATTTTTGTCATGTATATTTATTTATTTAATATATCTATTTAGCTTTAATGTATATTTAGTTTGGTTGTATTTTTAGTGATTTTAGTACTTAAGCTTAGACATATTTATTTCAATTAGTTGTCAAAGCAACATCTCTAATTAATTCATTTATGCTTTTTTACATTTCATTTTAATTTTAGTTTGTTTTAGTCATTTTCTTTTGTGCTTTTGTCATTTTTATTCATTTTTATTTTTTATTAATATTTTTGTTATATATATTTGTAATATAATGTTGTTGTAATTTTAGTACTTCAGCTTGAACAAAATTATTTTAGACATATTTTCTAATTCTTGTAAAAGTTTTTTTAATTGAAGTTTTTCATCTAATATGTATATGTAATTTAATTTAAGCTTTTTAAGTAATAAAAACCTTTTTAGAAATGTTTACATTTTTAAAAAAGTTTTTTAGAAAACATTTTAAAAATCAGAAATTAAATTAAATTTTAATTTAATTTAATTTAATTTAATTTAATTTAATTTAATTTAATTTAATTTAATTTAATTTAAAAGACTGATGACTAAGACATTTGGCTAACTGCTAATCGGCCATACTAGTTATTAACACACAGTCTTAACATGACGGCTATGTTTATGCAACTGGTTATATAATTAAATATTATATAATTTAATCACCAGTTGTGTGAATCACCTGAATGAACCCTGCAGTCACTTTCACACATGAAGACTGTGATATGAAGCATGTTGATCATAATTCATCAGCTGAATGACAATACCGTCAGAAGAGCGACGTCTAAGATGAGATTTAGTCTTTTTTTGGTTGGTCTCATTTCATTAGAATAGCAATTAGGACAGCGCTGGCACTCGTTAAGTTGACCCGCAGAACGCAGATGTAGGACACAGACAGAAATAGACAAGACGCTTTCTCCTCAAGTGCTTTGTCATGGTTTGCATGCTCCAAAACATAGAGAACCACTGAATTTAAACCTTTATTAGTGAAGATCTGATGGACACTGGTGGCCTATCAGCCGTAGAATCGATCAAAGCCGATATATTGAGGCCCATAACCTTTCCCGCTCCGCACAGGAGAAGCATTTAAGGTTATGCTGAAACACAGAATGCCGACAGCTGGATGACAGGATCGGGCCTCGTGCCAAACGACGTTTTCTCCTCCGGCCTCCGTCGCCCAGCGGCACTCGAGCAAAAACGAGAGCAGATAAAACCCGCTGACGGATCCCGAGCCGCATAATCTCTCAGCAACTCTCTTCAGCTGAAGGAAAAACAGACGTTTAGTCCTGAGACGAAACCGCAGGCTGTAGCTTATGCAGAGCGGCTTCGGTTTCTGAACATCCAGACGTGTTGATTGCAGGGTTGAGATGCTGCTTTCAAACTCAAGCTACTAGTTCAACTAGTTCAAGTTACACTTTTAAAATGTCAAAATGAAGCTGTTTAAGTGGCTGATATGTTTTTAAATGTGACCCTGGAGCACAAAACCAGTTTTAAGTGTAACTTTTTCAAAATTGAGATTTATACATCATCTGAAAGCTGAATGAATAATATTTTACACACACACACACACACACACACACACACACACACACACACACACACACACACACACACACACAC